ATATATATATATATATATATATATATATATATATATATATATATATATATATTAGTTCACTATTGTATTAATATAGTAAATGAGTACAACTAAGAGCGTATACAAAAATTAGGTAACCCAGTATTTGCATGCCCTATACAAAAACCCACAAGGGGCCCCAAAAAAGCTCTACATCAGATGCAGAAGAGAGAAGGGGGATGCAAGCTTAAAAAATGCCTACAATTCCCGTGGTTAAGTTAAGACTCGCTCCTTCCCTAGCTAGAGCGTCAGCAGCCTCATTGGCTTCTCTAAATACTAGATTCCAGGTGACCCATTGGCTTCTCTAAATACTAGATTCAAAGATGTGGTCAAATCTCCAGGGCCATGGGGCTGCCCCAGAGGCCCAAGTAACAACATTACTAGAGTCGCCTTCAGTCACCAATTCAGTGTTCCAGCTGGGGTTGAGTCTTCGGAGCCCTTCGAGCAAATCCATGGCCTATGCGGTAGTGGAGTCCGTAACTCCAGCAGTTAAGGAGAAGGAAAGAAGGGTAGAGCACTCAGAATTTCTGAAGATGCCCCCTATCCCGGAGGGGCACGGGTTGCCAAGAGAACAACCATCAAAATTAAGTTTGCTTTGCCAGTCTTCCAGCGGTCTCCACAATGAAGAGCTAGATATTATTGGAGCTCTCAGGTATAGGAGGTTTTGCAAATAGTGGTGAAGATCAGCAAAGAAGCAATTTTTTAGGAGTTCACGGTTTCTGGCCCAAAAGGAAACTAAGGTGTGGCATTTGTCGATCAAGGAAGGGTTGGAAGCTACGTCCCCCCTAACAATTCTGCTTTTCCTTTCTACCCAGATAGACCACAAGACAGTAGCAATACAGACTCTCAAAGGAAATAACCAGATTTGCTCCAAGGAGTATTAGGTAGGTAGAAAAGAGCTGATGGATTGAGTGGGGAGGAACCCAGGTCCACTTGAAAAGGTTGAGCGCATCAAATCAAAGGGCTGATGCTACTTCACGATGGATGAAGACATGGGCATTTGTCTCTTCAGCCAAAAGATACAACGCATCTGTTAGGGAGGGAGAGGCCTCTTCTCATGAGTTGATCTGTTTTAGGGCCCTTTCATGAAGGGTAACCCAACCAAAAACTTGGATCTTAGGGGGGATGGATGGGAACCAGGCTTTGGCTGCAATTGAGGGGGCGGCATTGGAGGGAAGGGAAGCAGCATAATAGCTCAATAGAAGGAGGCAACAGGGAAGTTCCTCGATGTGGCTGGTGACCACATGATCTTATCTTCCCCAGACAAGGGAAGAAAAACTGAGTGTAGGAGGGCTGAGTGTTCCGAAAAGTATTCAATCTCTTTGATCAGTGAGGGGCCGTATAAAAATGGGATTCCAAGTTCTAGAGTCCCACAACAGACAAAGCATTCAGCTACCGTAGAGTTGGGAATTAGGGCGAGCCGGAAGAGGGTGGGGAACTGTTCTTTAAGAGGGCTGCCACCTACCCATAAGTCAGACCAGAATGAAATACTGTTTCCCAACCTTGGGCGACAACAGACCCAGCTCAAAAATAGGCTATGGCAGGGTTGAAGGGACCTCCAAAAGCATGATATATTGCCACTGGTCCTGCAGGAGGGTAGCCAAGCCTGGTCTTGATGACAGTAGTTTTGGTGACAGCATTTACGAGAGATGACCTCTCTCCACAAGTGATTAAGTTGTGTGGCATAGCGCCACCACCATTTGCCTAGTAGGGCTAAGTCGATGGCTCTTAAGTTGCGAATGCACCCTGGGATTTAGGTAAGTACACCTTAGCCAAAGAGATTAGGTGGAATTTATGGCCACCTTCACCCGACCACAAAAAGCCCCTCATTAGTTTTTCCAATTTCGCTGGTAAGAGGCAGGCATGTGAAACAGAGACATTAGGAAGAGAGGAATACTAGAGAGGGTAGCCTTGATGAGTGTCAAACATCCGGCCGAGGATAAAATTCTCCCTTTCCAGGTAGCAAGCCTCCTTTCAAATTTATCAATTATTGGACTCTAATGGTTAAGTCTTGCCAGACCAAGACAAAGAGGAAGCCCCAAATAAGTGGATGGCAATCATCTACTGCACACCCCCATCGGTCAGCTAGGCTCTGAACTAAAGGATTGTCCAAGGAAACATCCATTATCTTAGATTTTCCATATTGACTCTGAAGCCAGTGGCTAACTCAAAGCATTGGAGGAAGAGAAGCGAGCAGTCAACTTGTTGCCAGGATGAGTTGCAAAAGAAGAGACTATCGTTAATACGCGTATTGAAGGTGGGAGATGGTAGGACCTGACCTTCATCTGTTGAACCTTGTAAGATGGATGCCTAAACACCTTAGCCACTATGGAAAAGAGGAAGGGTGATAGAGGGCCACCCTTTTGCAGGCCTCTAGAGCCTGAAAATATCCCTTGGGAGACCCATTGATTAGCAACAAGAAGAATGGATTGGATATGTAACCTTGAATCCGTTTTCTCCATTTAGCCCCAAAGCCCATCCTAAGGAGAGTCTAGTCAAGAACCTTCCAATCTACGTGGCCATATGCCTTCTCCTAGTCAAGTTTAATTACGAAGCCTGGGGTCTTTTGAAGGTGGCTAGAGTGGATGCATTCATGGGCTATAACAGCCCCATCTTGGATCTGGCGATCCATCACGAATGACCTTTGAGTTGGGGAGATAACCCAGCCTAGGACCTTTCTAAGGCGGGAAGCGAGGACTTTGGACAAAATTTTGTATGAGCTGTTGATCAGACTTATGGGCCTGAAATCTTTCAGCTCTTAGCTCCTTCTCTCTTTAA